CATAGCTCTAGGTGTCAAGCCAGTGCAGGGGCAGGGGCAGTAATGACCATGTGGCTCGGACCATGCAATCATTGCTTCTCAAAACCAAGCGTCAGGTGTTCCAGCATCGATGTAGCTTCTTGACGTCAACGGCTGCACCTCATACGCATGCCAAGCAAAATCAACGCGCACATAATCGAATCTACACTCGTTGTGGTCAGCTTCCAAAACAAGAAAAACAATAAAGCCTTTGGCATTGCCATGAAACATGTGCAACACAAAGAGACTTGAGGTTAGGATTGGCTCGAACTGCAACTGAGACACCACTTGGCAGAACCGAGAAAACCCATCCACCTGCCTAACAGTAAAATAGGCCGGCTGCCCTGCTGGCTTATATAGCTGGGCAAAACCTACAGTACATCAAAATCGGCCAAATCTCTACCCAATATCATTGAAATCTTCAGGAAGTCTGCATCCAATCACATCCAAACCAAACAGTTTGGCCACTGCGCGAACGACATGTCACCGCGTCAAGTCAGGTCATCTGTCACCAGGCTCCACCCAGCTCCGCCTCCGAATCGTTGGAGAAGGTCGCGCCGGCCTTCTCGACCATCGGATGTTGGGAGCGGTGGCAATGGGGATGGTTCCAACCACCAATACCCATGGTCTGGAGTCTTGATGGCATTCCACAAATGGTCTACCCACTACAGACCTCCAAGGTAGGCATGTGAAAACCCGGCTAGCGGCTAGGAAGCATTTCCAAAGGCCAAACACAGCCCAAAGAGATTTTAGCCCCCACAAGCCGCCCAAACAAGAAGTCGCTGGCGGAGCCACTCAGAAAGTTCCTGCACCCAGAAACGATGAGAGTATATAAACCTGACGATGTCCGTAACAAATCTCGGGGCATTAGGTCCCCGAATCTGATATTTGCTACCCCACTGAAAACTAACATAGACCCTGAAAACCACCGGTTTGCATATAGAGGAAAACAGTCCTTGAGGGTGCCACTGTCAGGGTCCATGTTGGTTATATAGCTTCAGGAGTGTAGTCCCAGGTGTGTTCGGCTGTGTGTCACACATTGATCTTCTCCACTGTTTTGTAGCACAGGGAGGGCCTGGCACACGAGCACCTGATTTGCAACCCTTCAAACCTAAGAAAGCCTTGATCGTTTCATGATGCAAATTCTGTTGGCGCCATTCTTGCCAGGGCAAAAAGATACATATAACAGGCTGGGCATGGGGTGAACACCTGGACTTTGGCATAAAGTCATCTGAGTGGGATGACAGGACTTCAGTCTGGGGGGTGCAGTGCACCCCATATAAATACACAGCAGGTTCATGTCACCATGCAGGCTAAGCCCTGCAGTCAAGGGTCTCAGTTCGGATTCTCCACTTGACGTTCCCATCCGTAACTTGCGATTCAGGATCCGGCCTTCATCACAGATTTGGGATCCGGCCTCAGCCACAAAAAGAGTGGCACGGCCGACACCGTGAAGCCTGATCCGAATTGTAGCCGAACACAATGAACAAACTCCGCAATCCCGCATGCAGGCCCAATGGGGGTTGGCTATCTGCATTCCTCCGACCAGGTGAGACACTTCCTGGTGATGCTCATGCCATCAAAGGCATGCCAGGTTCCAAACTTCCCTCCAACAAATTGCAACATTGTCCTTAGAGTTCACTTCATATCATAGTCCTGCAGTCTCTGCCCTTCTTTTGACTAAATGGATGGGTGGCTCCAGCGTTGCAACTACTGCATCCCTGAGCTCATCAGCTTCAAAAGGAATCTGTCCCAAAGATTTTCCATCTCTGTGTGCTGTCAATTGCTTCCGAGGTCTCATTGTGAGGCTTTTGCCACTTAGCTAACTTAGCTCCCACCGAAATCGACCGATTCCGGCTGAATCTTTGTGCTTAGCATTGCTGAGCCTACAGGTCAACCCTTTTTGGGATCAACGACTGTGCCTGCAACGACCACGGGGTGCGACGACCACGACTGTCCAACTGTTCAGTTTTGACGTCTGGTTCTTCGGACCGACACCACTCACCAGCATCGACCCTCCGCCAGTCGGGCGCGAGACATACACCCGGACCTCTGCTTCGATGGGAAAAGAACATGGTTTGCCGCCACTCAGGTTCTAGGTAAATACATGTAAATACCTACACGCACCTGGGGCAAGAAAATCCTGCCTCAGTCCAATGCCCAGGAGCATTCGTGGATTTAGGGCAAATCCCCGCCAAGTAGGAGTATTGGTGGCCAGCGGGTAATTATTGCGGCAAGCGGAAATTCTACATAGCTTTCCAAAAGCGATCACCATTGCTTAACACCCACCAGATTTGTCTCTTCCATGATTCCATACAGCATAACTTTCTGCAAGAACATAGTTTCGCATCTCAAGATCGACACGTTTTGATTCATGAAGTTTACACAAGGTTTCAAAAGCACTGTTTTCTTTTAAATTCCGCCTATTGCCAGAAATTTCATGCATTTTCCCTTTTCTCAGGTATGTCCGCCCTTTTTCCGGGGCAATGTGTGTACCAGGTTTTTCAACTTTGGAGTGGTATGACGGTTTCCAGATTTGCGTGTGGAGGTAGATCGTGGAAGCTTGTGACGTGTCGCCATTCTTGCTGCATGTTTTCCTTCAGGTGCAAAATCCGTTCAGAGCCTCTAGAAGCTCTTAGTCTTTCTCTCCCTAGATTACTGGCAACTAAAGCATGTTCGATGCAAACAATTGATTTCCCCTCCCCAGGGCGGGAAGAGCCGTTTTTCCCGAAAGAGGCACTATGTTTTGCTGAAAGGATCTTCTTCTATATATAGGTTAATATATATATATATATATATATGTGTGTGTGTGTGTAATATGTACTTATCTCCTGCATCATCTTATGCAAGCATCCTCCGATGACCCTTTCTTTACCCTCCCGTCCAACTGCATGGCTGCATAATGTTGTTTAGAAGCACGGGATTTCAGGAAAGGGACGCATGGGTGTTGCCCATCAAGCCATCCACACAGTTCCTGCGATGGGTTGGCAACACTGGGAAGGCTGGGAGAATATCAGAAGGACATCCAAAGTTTCGGAGTCAGGGCTGAACAAAGCTGCACGTACGACACACCCTGCTTGTGCCCCAATAGATCAGGATGATATATAGAGGGACCCTCCTGGAATCTGGAACCATTTTGCTCGAGAGAGGCCACGCACGCGCACAAAACTTACCAAAGTGCGCAACGCCTGCACCCTAAGGGATTGTGGTTGTCTCTTCAATGATAATGATGGGGCTAGGATCACCGAGTACCTCCTCGTGACAGGCTTAAAGGGTTTCAATCCATGGTGCAAAACAATAAAGCTAACACTTGTCCGCGACACAAACGTTTTCCTTTGAACCACCACCACCACCACAACAAAGACAATGATGACGACCATGACGACGACAACAACAACAACATACAAGAACGCTCTGCAAAAATTCTGGAACCAAGAATTCATCTATATATATCTATCATTTGTTGATAAAAGATTGCAAAATGACTCAATTTGTGGCGCTCTGCCAGCCCCTCTGGCCGCTAGCCACAAAAGCCGCTTGCTTCTTCCCAGAAACTTTGAACCCCCCGGACCACGGACCTGTCCGATGTCCGGTGCCCGGTGCGACCCGACCGGAGCTGTTGAGCCAAGACGGCGCCAGGATTCGACGGACCCATTCATCACACCAAAAAGATTGCCCCGAGCATCCCAGCCTGAGCCCGAGCCTAGACCTATATACTGTAGCCTATACTTACACAGGCCGGCCCTGGACATCTTTTTACGACCTCCTTGGCTACTACCGGACATGGCCGCCCTGTGGTCCAGGATTCCTCCGACCAGTTGGCAATTCTGGTCCGGAAAACGTATGGGAAAACCATTGGCATGAATCCGGTCATATATCGAAACTATAATTATCCATGTATAGATTTTTATATCCCACCAGGTTTAGAGACTGTGACACATTCTGTGATATATCTGATCAAAAATGAAGGATCCAAGCAATCATGTCAAGCTTTCGCTCCCAAAGACCAGGCAGAATCCAGCCGTACTCCTCGGAAGCTATTTGGGCCGGATCGGAGATCTCCGATAAACCATGCCGTCTAAGAATACGACAAGTGTGCCAATAGTCTTTGAACTATGTCACCCTTCTAACACCCGGTTCCGCAAAAGAAGGCCCAGCTGCCCTCGAAGCAAATCCAAACTGAGAATGTGTCCAATGTCCTCATCGTCCCTAAGCCAGTCTCCAGCCCATCCTGTTGAACAGCAGTAGCTCACTATGGCACTTCTCGCCTGGAAAGCGTGCTCCAGTGCCCCTTTTCACCTGGCTCAGCCAATGGAAGGCTCACGGTACATGCAACTGCGACTGTGAAAATCGATGCGACTTCCCCAACATCCGTTCCCCAATGGTAGGGTCTCATTTTGCAAAAAATAACGGTGCGACTTCACCACTCGGCTGGGTCCGATTGCAAAAGAAAGCCCCCGACCGAACCAGCTACGCAAGAATCCAATGGGTCGACGACTGGGGACTGAGCGGTGCGAGCGGAGTGAGCGGTGTATCAGTGCAAGGGGATATTCTACACTCCTGGAGATCATCGTGGAAGTGGAAAATCAAGCCCTGGGCCCCTAGATGACCAAGTTTCTCTACAAACAGGCGGTTTTCCACTTCCATGTTGATGACAATAATAGCACGGAGGGCTGTTTTCTTTGCAACTGGGTCCTTGTCCATCCTTGTCCCATTCCCTTTTCTGACTCAAAGGGTCACCTCCCCCCAACGTCTCAGAATCCACCCATGGGGCACGTATAAACCCGTTGAATCAAATTTCTTCCTGGACTACGTGGGACACAGAAAGCACATGAACATGACAGGAACTCGGTGGTGAATTTGGTGAACAATCACATGAGTCACATGAACCAAAAAAACACCGTTGAGGGGTGGTGAACCTGGTCATGTCAGTGTCTTCCTCCCAACAGTGGATCCGCCAGTCCGACATGCAGTGTTCCAACTTTTCGATCACACGCTGACCGCAGTCTCTAGGAGACCCGGATGGTTGGCGTAGATGGGGAAGCCGTCGGGAAAGGACCTGGACTCCTCGGACGTGGACTTCGGCACTCTCTGTGCCGGTACGTTGAGCACTCGGTACGTTGAGTCTCCAACTCCCCAAAGGGCAAGGGTTACACTCCCTGGAACTAACATGCAAGTGGAGAATGGCCCCTTGGAAGACCATTTTCCACTACAAACAGGTGGTTTTCCACTTCCACGTTAGTTCCAAACAGAGTAAGGCGCTCGAACCAGCCTGTCTTGAGCTTTCAAATGGTGTCGAACAATTGCTTCCTCAAACAACCCGGAATCTCTCAAGCGCGTGCACCACGTGGACGTTCCAAGATATGATGCAAGGGGGGGGTGAATGAGTTCTTGAGTCGAGTCAGCTAGCTTTGATGCAATTGGGAAATTCAAATCCGCAGCCACACCATTCGCGACTGTGAGAACTGCGATGCGAACTAGGAATTGGGACAGCAAACAGGAACCCACTCTTGATGCTTCTTCTTGATCGTCCGAATGGGTGACACCTGGAATATCCTGGAATCTGATCCACTCCCATGGATTGATGAGAAACAACAACTAAAAGTACATATGTTCAGATCTGGCTTCCGCTTCAGTATTGTACTTCTCGCACTTTGCAGCCATCAAACTCAGCTCATCCTGGAAGGTCTTAAAAACGCTTGCAGGGCTGTGCCCCATCACTGAGGCTTCAGGAAACAAGTGGGACCAATCCTCCCCCAGCAGCTTGGGCATAGGAGTTGAGGTGAGGACATGAGCAAGGCTTGTGCAGTCCTTGGTGCTAAGGACGGGCAGTTGTGCAAACAGGGCCACGAATGGCACCTTTCTTTGGAGCCTCTTTCAACGCTCGTGTGTGAGGTGCTCTCCCATACTCATTGAACTGTGAAATTGATTCTCCCAAAACATTACTTCACTTTGCTGGACATCGTAATCGGGACCTCAAAAGTCCTGGCCCGACAAAGGAACCACTTCAGGCAAAATCAGCAGTGATTTCTTTGCAACGTCAAGTGTCGCAGTCTGCTTGGTACCACAGATGGACCCCTCAAGCCACTTGAAGCACGTCCATGAAGCATCCTCGCCGTGCACATCATGGATGTCGCGAAACCCAACTTAGTCCCTTTGTTTGGAGGTCTAGGCGTGCAAAGGCAACCTATCAGGACCTTACCCCTGATCCATCCACTACCTTAACCCCCCTATCCACCTGAAAGATTGGAAAGAACATGAAACCCCAACATCCACATGGGCCACCCCAATGTGTGGCGAACAAAAACCAAGGGCTTCGCACTCCTGTGCATAGACTTCGACAGCGCCCTGCTGCTCATGTCCGGCGGTGACCATCCAAAGGAGACTCGAGAGCCAATGAAGGTAGAACCTACATCGTTCGGGATCCAATGCAAACCCGATGCATCATGTATAGTTGTTCGCCAAGGCAAATACACAAACCGAACACAAATAGGCAAACAGGCAACCTGTTAAAAGCCCGACTGGGGGAAAGAGTCACATTCAGGCGTTGGACAATCTGAACATCATCAAACATCGACCTCTTAAATTAAACCTCCCTCCTTCATGAGGTGCTGTGGCCACATCTACTGTAACAGGGCTCAAAACTAACTATGAATATGTCGTCATGAAATTATATATACCATAATATTCTTGCCAAAGGTGTCTTCCATGGCTATCTCACTCCACATCTGTATATGAATATATATATATATGTAAAGATTATTCGCACCAAGCTACCTGCATCAGTGATCAACGCTATTCATCAATGGCCTAGCCTATACCTGCCTATACTATACTACAATACTACGACTCTGGCCAAGGAACTCATAGGCCACTTCGACCACAGCCGCCTCATCAATGGATTGGATCCAGGGCGCGCCGCCAGCAGCGCGTGCAAAGGCACAAGAAGCGGAGGCACTTTCATAGCCTCGAAGAGGTGGCCAATGGCCATCGGGGATGGAAACCGGTTGAGTCAGTGGGCTCGGATGGTGGGCTTTTGGCGGAGCAGCTTTTTGAGGATTTCCCGGCCCTGATGATATATCCTACACCTTGGAAGTTTCGCTGCGTCCAGAACAAAAAACAGCAGAGTCAGCTTGTATGGCAGCGAGCAGCGGATGAAGTAGTGCTGGGCCATGGAGACCAGCCTCAAGTCTGCATGTCAATCACAAAAATACAACGCTCAATCGATTCCAAGGAAGGTGTTCGGGAGTCGGAAAGAACAATTAAATACATCAATTGTTCTGAAACAAGCTCACACGTCAGGGCCAATCATCATCCAGAATGATCCATTCAGTTTTGCAAAGCTGGACAGTTCTGAAGTCGAAAGGGGAATTCTTGAAGTTTCAACCCAAATGGGATCAAATGGCTGTGTAGTGATTAAACAGGAACACCCCAAACCACTGGGTTATGGTATACATTCCTTCTTCCAAGTCTTTCGCAAATTTCGGCAGTCTGCAGGTCCATTCTGGAAAAACATCATTGAGACGACTTCCAAAGCTCAGTAAAACTACCTAGACCTGGTCAGCCTTGTGAATGAACTAACTTTTCGCAGGACTCTCTATGTATCATGTGTGCATCTTGAAAACTAAGTCCCCCCAGTTGGCATGGCCATGCATTCTTGCAGGTTTTCTCATGTCTTCAGCACATCATCACTAGATTCATGGGCAAACAACACCAATCGAACAAATATCAAGCCCCTTTTTGTCCCTACCATCAAGCCTACCCTTGTCCTTCTTGGGAATGGCGGAAGCCGTGGGCCCTGACACTTGCTGGCTTCCAAACCTCACTTACCGCCGAGAAGCTCTTCATCTCTGACCAGGTCTTCTTTCGTGGCATAATAGCAGTCCAGGTAGCCCTGCAAAAAGCGAACAAAGATCCAGTAGAGCTCCTCCGCCTGTCTGAAATACTCAGTGTCCACGCCCATCTTTTTCTTGTGGGCAAAGTAATCTTTCAGATTCAAGAAAGGACCTCCTTGGCTTCAACGAGTAAGTTGGACCCCCCCCGATATCATACCAAAACAAAAAAATGATGCCGACTCCACAAGAGCCCAAAGATTCGCCGATTCGAGAACGGCATCCGCGGTCGTCCGCGTTCGCTTTCCAGCTGAGAGTCCCTGCTCAGCAGCCACCTCATAGCCCCAGACCTGCAAAGACGGAGCCGCTGCAAAGGCCAGAGCAAAGCCCGTGTCCTTAGAGGTCTAAGGGAGAGTTGTCCAAGAGGCCCGTGTCCCAATCAAGAGAGGGGAGCTCCTATTAAATGTCAGAGTAACTAATAGCAATTTGCACGGTATGTCATGTCTACCAATACAGTTGCTCTTGTTCCCCCAATCTTTTTCCTTCGAAAAACCCTTCGCCAGCCTACATTAGGCAGCAAGGCTTCCCTTGTGCTCGAGGCAATTTCAGGACAACTACCTGAAACAGCGTATGTGGGAGATCAAGGCTTAAATGTTCCATTGGAGAATCTCACTGGCAACATCCCATCTGCATGGAATCAGGTATGTGAATGTTGGCAGGTGAGTCCAGTGGACGTGGGCAACTCAACGACTTGTTCAGAAGGACAAAGTCTCCGTGAATGCGAAGCATCTGGAAGCCATGCCGCGCTTCGCGACCAGGTTATGCTTGGCATTGTCGTTGATCGAGATGGTTTGGTAGGTGAAAGGTGTTAAAAAGCGCCGGATGGGATGGCTAGAGGACATCTGCTCCCGAAGAGAAGTCACAAAGAAGTTGGCCAGCTGCAAATGGATGAAGTACCTCATGAATATCACGCACCAGAATTGCCGGATAGCTCAACCTAGACAAGGTAGAACCGTGTGATTGATGCGCCAGCTTGCTAGATGTTACGACTTCCCTTTAAGACATGTGCCCCAAATCCACACCCTTCTCCAACTCCTCACGACCGTGAGGAGTATCTCTCGGCCTTCATCACGGCCGCAAACACCGAACGGGTCGCAAGCCGGTCGCAGCAAAGAGACACCTGGCACCTCGATTTTCCCATGTCGAGGTACAAGTGATCCACCAAAGTCACCAAAGAGAAGAGCGAAGAACGGAAGCGAAACTTTGTTCTCTCCCAGTCCTTCTCCCCAGGTCTCACGATGACCTCCAAACTGACAGGATTGAAGAATCACCCCAAATGTCTCTGGGTTGTTTATTTGCATGATTTCCTGTGCCGCATGGCGCCCGAGGTAGGTTTTACATTTGGATCCCCACAAGTGAAGAAAATGCCATTTAGGAGAACCTATCTCCAAGTATTGGTGGTTCGTGTTGACATCCTTTTAAACATTCCAAGTGACAACAGGTCTGCCTTCAAAAAGACTTCACCCCCCCCGACAGTCCATCAGCATTCTGCGGATGGAAATGTTCTAGGAGTTCTTCCTGAGGCCACCATCCCTCACCGTACATCAAGACGTGCCATCGCAAGAGTAACTCCAGCTAGCTACGCAGCTACACTAGCTCCCGTGATTATAAATGCCGCCGGGACAAATGCAAAATACGAATTGTGCAAGTGTTGGTGGCATCAGAATCTGGGGCACCACCTTACCTGCATATATAAAAACAATTATGCAATATCCGCTTGCAACTCCAGGTGCACAAGAAAAGCCTCGCGCCTCCTTCTGATGTAGGTCTTCCACCAGTGGACCTTGACCCCTGTCCACAATCATGGCGGGCCGCCAGTCCTCAAAGAAGTAAGCATCACCACCATATCGCTCAAAGCCCCGGCGGGTTGGTAGCACTGAGAGGCAATTCGTCCTCACCACGAAGTACCTGACGAAGGGCGGGCGTTTATCTGGCAGTTTGAAGAACTGGACTGGAAAGAAAAAGCCGACGGTGGGCGGTGGGCCCGAATAGATAGAAAAGCGTTCCGACGCTTTTCTGCCACGACCAATGTGGGGCAGCCCTCCTGTGTTTTTGGTTCTCTGCTTCCATCACCAGCTGACCATCGTTCCACATCATTGTGGGCGCAAAATCCTTGCGTTGAAGTTCATGGTCCGTAGGAACATGAAGATCCTGTTGGCTGGACTTTTTCCCAGGCCCATCTCTATCCACGCACAAAAATAGCAAATCTGTGACGTCCTTCCAAGTTGATACACGAGAACCCGTTTGATGTCCAACTGCACCATAATACAATCAATTCATTCGGAACACTTCAAGCCATTCCTGATCTCCAGCTCCACTCGGTGGGCACCCAAGCCATGCAAGCAAAAGCGGGTGAGGGCTTCGTCGCTGTGCTTGTCCGTCCTGGAAGCTGTTTTTTCCACAAGACTGGCAAAATCAACGTGTTTAAAGCGGGGCTCATCGCACCCGCTACAGAAACCTTTAGTTATGCGGTCTTCAACATGATTGGATGATGATAAGCACCATGTGATGGTAAGAATGAGTCATATAGCCGATAGCCACTGCACTTCCATGTGGCGTAATCATTTAGGCTTTACACACTTTGGGGCCTTTCATTAATCAAAATAGGTCTGTGTACGGATCAATTCCTTGCTGGGTGGCTGCAGATCCTAGAATTCATTTCATCGCATCCTGTGCCAAGCTTCCATTCCTGATAGACAGCTGGATACACGGCGCCCAGCTGCTTCATCACAAAGTCCACCGGATTCCTCTCACCGACGGCAGCGATCGAACGGGCCTGATTTCTTGTTCGAAGTTGGATCTGTTTTGAGTTACCGGGCAGCGTGATCTCTGCCAACGAATTCGTTTGCCCTATCCGCTTCAGGAGTCTCATTGATCACGATGGAAAGCACCTGGGAGAACCCTTTGGTTTTGCATGGTTTTGCTATAGTGTTCCGAATTATGAGCCGTTGATCAGTTGATCACATTCTCATTACCTGGTGAAACATCATATAAACGTCATGAAGCATCTCAAATAACCAGTCATACCGTACCAACCAACGCATGAAAAAAGGTCTACTGGGTGTGGTGGGCATCCATTTCATCACCTCCTTCCGCTGTCCTTCCTTGGCTGGATGAGCCTCAACTGAGCCGAGCTGCTCGTCGGGAGCAAAGGTTTCGAAGCGTTCACTGCGTGGCAGCCAGTGTAAGCGATCTTCGATGAAGTTCTCCAAGAGTGTAGGTGAGTGATATTCCCTGGGCCCAGCTACACAAGCTTCTGCGATTCTTTTGAGCTGGATCAAGTAATATAGTTCTACAACATCCAAAACACAAAGTCACCTCTTGTGAAACTGAGTGTGAGGATTGCATGACTTTTGCATGCCCAGGTTATCATCAACATGGGTCAAAACATGTGGAATTTCAGCCCATGAATTGCGAGCGAAACAATGGAATTACCAGTCGGGTAAGGACCAACTGTACAGTATTCAATGCTTCCTCCGTCACACAGGCACACTCGTGCGTCAAAAGTGCACGGAACCATAACACAAACCCGTTTTAGAATAGGCGGTTTATGAACACTGCACCCCAGACCTGCCTGTTCTTCATATGTGTATATATATATATATCCTCTCTCGTTATCCATCATTATCCATATTGCCCGGCCCGCAGATGCTTTGCCTTTCGAGCCCCAAGTTTCTTCGGCCCCAGTGGCTCAAGGAATTGATCCTCGGCACCCTTGGGCACCTGGATGTTCAGACCATAGTCCATGTACCTTCGCGTCAACTGATGTCTTTTTTTGAATCATAGAGGGGTCACTTTTGTACTATATATATATACTGTATATATATATATATATATCAAAATATCTACAGGACGGGCGCTCCTGAGAGATGTCGTTCTCGCAAAAAAGGCTAAAACATCACCAACACCCAGGTGTTGGAGCCATGTTTTGCTTCAATGCTTTGTTGTGAATGCAAGACATGAACAAACACAGTGTTTTACGTTGTTTTTTGACTGAAGCCTCACAAAAACCTAAGTTTTGGCTTAACTTTTTCTATATGCACAATTTGTATATAGTTGAGCACCAACCTTCACACGGACTGTGTTTTTGTTTTCTAGCATGGCCTTCTCAAGAGCATTAAGATTCAAATAAAGGAACGCATTACTAAAGAAGCTAATGAGCTAGACGAAGTTGCAACAGCATCAATAGGCTGCTTCAATCTTCACAAGGCCTTCTTCTTGGTCAAATTGTTTTGTTTGGCTTAGCTCTTTCTAAGAAGGTAAGGAGCTAGACTAAGCACAAGGAGGTTGATTGATTTCTATGTCATTGCAAAACATGATGTACGTGCGTTTCCTTTTTGGTTGCCTTGTGATGGTTCTTGTTTGTCTTGGTTTGGACAAGATGCCAAAATGCCAAATGTGTGTTATTTGGATTGCTTTGGCCTATGAACAAAAACATCAAAGAAAATACATCTTACATGGAATAATGGAAAAAAGAAAACAATCATACCATGTAAAATCTATTGGAAAAATAGAAAGGTCCTTTTGGATCAAAGTGAATTTGCTGAGGGGAGAGTGTTGCAGCTGAAGTCTGCATATCTGATATCAATCCTTTCAAGATTCAGAGCCAAACAGCTTTGACCGATATTGAGAAGAAATGAATACAAATTACCAGGCAGTTATTGATATTGAACAAAGACGAGTCAAAGCACATTGACATTGCACATAGAAATTTGGCACAGGAAGATATATAAATATGTGATTTGCCTAGGTTTCAGAGCCATTTTATATTTTTTAAGCCGGCACCAGCAATTCATGGTGGCTTCATGAAACCTTGGAGGTCTGCTAAACAATTCTGAAAACAACAGTTTAACATAATGTGAAATAAAGAGTCCTAAACATGCTCAAAGCATCGTATATAGGAGGTTTGTTCACACTCATGCACAATCCCTTTGCTGTACATCACCGTCACTCCGAGTATGACCTCAACGGGTCCAGAATTCAACTAAGACATATCCTTGGGAATGCCTCTGGATGTTTCTTCTTGACATCGCAAAGACACGCATGTGTGACTGGCTGATGGCGGATGCCCTATCACCGGTGACCAGGAAGCCAACGCCCCAACAAGCACAGCAAAGCACAGCAAGCGCAGCTGCTCTGCCGGGTGACTGCTTCTTCAGCACCTTTCGACTGCTCAGCTTGTCCACTGGCATAAATCTGGCATCCGCCTTGGGTGTGCGTAGGCCTGAGTGCTGCACGTAGAAAGCGAGGTAAATGAGCTTCTGATAGACATCCTGGCGAGACAGGAGGATCACTCCAACGAAAAGAATGACATCTGCAAACTGCCCTCCCACACCACAGCACCGCAGGATTAAGAGCATGTCTAAGTTGAACCTGGATGTCATTGTGGCCCCACCAACTAAATGAGGGACTGAGGGACAGCAAAACCATACCAAAAAACAACTATGAAGCTATTCTCCACACAAAGTGGCTTACAACTTACAACAATATGTCTGTCTTACATCACCTGGTACCTCCACAAGAAGGATGTAAGGTAGACTAGCATGCGGCGGGTATTTCTGGTACCGCAACATATTGGTCGTATTGACCGTTCACCCAGCAAGGATCTGTGTGCCAAGAGTGGCTGTAGCGCCAGCTCCATAGGCAGCACCATCCCAAGGACACTGGCGCAGCGCAGCACAGCGCTGCAAGTGCACCAAGCCCACTCAGCAGTAGCAGCAGTGCGCTGAGGATGGCATAGGCTGCCAAGGAGAAGAAGGGTGTGCAGAGTCCCCAGGGCCAAAGAAAGAACACATCCTGAGCAAAAGAGCTCCAAAAAACAGCCAGCCCAACTCCTCAAGTTTACAGAAGACTGGTGAAAATACTTCCTAGATCTTCACAGCTTTCTCATCGAACATGTTCCTTCAGTTGGTCAAGACCGGGACAGGGAATGAATATGAATGAATAAGATGAAGCGCCAAACCAAGGCAGCCAAGGCAACACGACCACTTTTCCCCCAAAGCCAAGCTTACCAAGCTTCATTGATGGGCCTGGGCTGCGTTACCGGCCAGGTCTGTGGCGCCTTCCCGGGCAAATCTTGACCATGGTCGCTTCATGGTCCGAGCCAAAGGCTGAGGCGTCGTTCGCCACACAAACTGAACCCCAACCTCCAACTACCCGAGAGGGTACCATGACCAGGTAGGGGAGCGGGGAGATGCGGGGAGGGTCAATCCCTCTATAATGATTACAGCGCATTTCTGAACATTTCTGGACTGCCAAAAGCAAAACACCAGCTTTTCAGCCTGACCCAGGGTGTTTTTGCAACATTCAAGATCGAAAAGAAAGGCTGGGGAGCCTGGAGCTGGACTTGGAAGTCGAAGTCGTGGAAGTTTGATGTGGGAGCAACTATCACTATCGCATTCTATCTACATATCCATCAAACCATCCATATATCTGAATCTATCCATCAATGCATCCATCTATCTCTTGATCACCTTAATGAAGCTGCCCACCTGAGGATCTTCTTTTGGTTTGGCCGCGGGAAGGGTTCATCTGACAAGGCATAGGACATTGACTTCCCAAAGGGAATAGCCATCGTCCAACACTCCCTGGGACTGACACAAGTAGCGACTCATTGACTGCTTTTGAACCACTGCCTCGTTGAAGTAACGGCCCGTCCCTCTTCAAACACACTCTGGGTCTGCCCCTCTTCATGCGGCAACAATGTATTGACGCACTGATCGAAAAACAATCCTGCTCGGACGTACCTTGGCTTTGTGTTTGGATCGGGGCCTCAGTTCGCTGAGTCTTGGAGCACGCCCCACCTAAGAATCCAGGCTGTTCTTGTGGGTGTCTTGATTCTATATGTGTTTGTATCATCCTGTCGATCTATGTGCTGCGCATGATTGCATGGAATTTTGGCGCTATGCAGTTATGCAAACCAGCGAGGTTAATCAATCACGATCAAAACAGTGTTGGGAGATCAGATTCTCAAAGGTTCCCTACTCTAAGCCGCACCAACACTCACATGGAATGAGGATTCAAAATTTCCACACCACACCCTTGGCTTTTTACTGGCTTGTTTAAAACCGTATGGAATGTGAAAGATTGGATGCAATTGCCTTATATCATATCTGGGAAAAGGGCCGCTCACCACTGAGTGTCCTTCACAACCCCTGGAGTCGAGGCGGCCGATTGGCGAAGACTCCAGTGAATAGAATTGTCCGCAAAGGTCTCCCATGTGTGATTGCTGAAGAAAGAAATCCAACATGGTTCGTTTCGATGTTCACTTGAACGAGAGCAAAAGACATGGCCTGCCACCAAAAAAAGGAACAAAGCGGCTCTAGGTGTATACACATGTTTTGTCTGTAATAAATACAGTATGTTGTTTCCTGGTTCTTCTACTGGCTTGATCCGGTTTGGGGATCACTATGCTATGCTCAAAATGTGTTCTACTTGGGTGCCTGTAAAACAGCGACTGCAATAGGTGTTGCATGGATTCCTCGGTCACGGGGCAACAACACGATGGTCTCTGGCAGTCCACCACGCTGAGTCCGCCACCTCTGTTCGCCTGCCGGGTCTGAAGATGTGAATTTGCTACCGACCAGGGACCTTAGCCTTCTCAAGTGGGTTCCTGCAGGGAACAAAAGAATGAACCTGTGAGGGAACTCAACAAAAGTCGGCCAGGTCAGAGCACTGTGCCTCGTTGGTCACAATCTCACATTTGGCTACTGTTTTCGGGCAAGGTTGCTGAGGATATATAATCGTGCTCTAGCGGCAAATGTCTTGTAGCATATGCATCTGTCACGTTGGTTTGATGGTCACCCCACACACTGACTTCAAAGAGGCCTATGGCCACATAGACATGGACTCTGGCCTTTCAAGAAGGCCCACTGCCCACTCTTCACGAATATATGAATGCACTAGTAACAGTCATACAAATCATAGATCTCCATACAGGCGACGCTTTTCTTACTGCCTACCCTGGACTTCAGGACAAGCTGAGAAACCAACGATGGCTTGAACAAACGTGGCGTTAAATCCAAATCCAATACATTCATTCCATTGTAGTCAGTCTCTTAGAACGAAAGCCAGTGAGCAATCCCAGTCCCATTCTCCTGCCTTGAGTGAGTGGTTCTGCCTCCTGTGCTTCGAAGAGTCTTGGTCAGGTTCATTGAGTTGATTACAGCCTTTCATGTATAAAAGCCTCACAAGAACATCCAGCTACTTGTGATTATCCTGGCTATATTGTTTATTTGTGTATATGTGTGAGCATAAATAAACAAATATATATATTATATATATGCACGCCCTTGACGTACAGCCGTGTACCGCTGCATGTAGCATCATGTGGCTTGGCACCCAAGAGCTTTTGAGGGAAGCAAGTCGTTCAGGAGCTCTTTCCATGAGTTTGTTGCTCATCCATGGGATCAAGCTGTTGCTTTCGGGAATGGTGCTTGAACACCTGGATCCAAACCATCCAGGTGGCTTTTCCAACCGCTTTGGGGCCCAGTCACCCGAAGCAAGTTACGGCCTCCCTCCCTCGAGCTCAGGAGGCCCAGCTCGGGTGAGGGACCTACTGGCTTAAGGTATACTTGGCGGGCTCTAATCCTAAGTGGCTCAATTTGTGCTTTCAGGATCTTTCAGGTCCACCCAAACCAAGAGTCCTGACAAAGGCAGTCAAACCGAATTCCGCCTACGCTACCAGCACTCGTCAGCGGCTCGGAATGGGCCAATGGGATTCTTTCACTGATCGTCCACGAGCTCCGCACCTGACTGCGTCTCCACCACGGTGCAGGGCCGGGAACCGCTGGGCGAAGCTGGCGAAGCCCGAGGCCTTCAAACCAGAGCGGTCAAGCACGTCATCCACCGTCAAGAATACGATCCACATGCGAGAACTAAACTATATCTTTATTTCCTCTACATGGAGCATCATAAAGCTGTGAGCAATCAACTAGACTCAATTCCAATACCAGTCTCCTTTCCAGAAAATCCTACCATCCCTAATACCGTGTGGTTTGGGGGGGTCGGTCCACTATTACCAAAGGTGGTCATCATAAGGCCCTGTGATCAAAGGGGGACCTCTCTTCAAAGGTTCTGATTGTGGCGCTCAGGCGCTCAGCGCCACGCAGCGACAAGTTGCATGATGTCTTGGATTCCACCCCGCTGCAAAAAGACCAAGGATGACCAATTCCTCTCTTAAGTCCTCAAAAAAACAAAGCAAGCGGGGCCAGCGAGGCCCTGGGCAAAGGGAGCGGGGCCAACGGGGACCTCCAACGATCGCATGGTGGATGGGACCATATTGAACAAAGTGGGTCTGTAGGTCCGCTTGTCATGTTCGAGGGCAGGTATGGACCTCGCTCTTGTCGCATTTCCCCATTTCGTCAACAGCACACCTTCTGGAACAACTGTATGCCCTCCACAGCCACAACACGGTAACAATTGAGTCGTCTCACCGAGGAGCCTTTGAATTTACAGCGAAAGGTCTATGTATAGCTTTCGCCCTCCTGAGACTAAGCGATGCAAGCACACACATTGTTTTAAAGAAACAATGAAAAACAATATTGACGTGCTTGAAACAACTCGGACACGGAAAACATCAGGTGTTTAGGTCCCTAGCTCCATGTCCAGCTTCCCAGCCACCAACACTGGTCCCATCCAACCCAGCAGGCCTTTCTGCTCCCATGCATGTTGCAAGGCTTGACCGATTTGCACTTCCTTGTCATACCTGTCACATGGCATTGTGTCTGATGAAGGTCTTCCACAAATCACTTCCACGGTGCGAGTGGCCATATCTTTCCACGATGTCCAGTAAAATAAATACAACCAACAATTAAAAAAAAACTTATCGAAATCGAAACGTTGAATACAGCTGACACCATATAAATTAAGCTGTAAGGTTGGAGGCCATCGCTTCTACCATCGCTCTTAGGTTGGAGGCCATCGCTAGCAGGTTGGAGGCCATTGCTATTGGAAATTGGATCTTACGGGGATGGCCGTCTGACGGATAACGACTGGTTCCATTCGGACGCCCCACTCCCTCCTCGTCGGACTGGCGCACTGGTCTCGCAAGCTTCGCAAGCCAAGCGTCATTCGCTGGACTGAGGCAGCCGCCTGGTCCGTCATTTGCCGATCCAAACTCACTCCTTCATCCATTTGGAGGCCGGGGCTGCTGGAGTCACATATATATATATACATACAACATGCCGTTCGTTTCGTTGCATTTGTTGATTTTTTGACTGATATATGTGTATATATATATATATGTGTGTGTGTGTGTGTAAAATATACACAGTACTGTAGCTGATCTGGTATCTAATTCCCGATTGTGCCCGCTTCCTTGATATTTGTCGTCTGGACCCCCTGGGAGTCATGAAGAAAAGAATCAGGTGCCCAGTTGAACAAGCACCACGAACATCACCTTGCGAATTGGCTGACCACGAGCCACGACAAATATTGGCATGTGAATCAAAAGCTGTCACAACACAAATGGGGGCCAAAAAACCGCTAAAGGCAGTGGCCAACATGGTGTGACAAAAAGCCAATCCTGGACTCTTCCATACCTTTTCATCAACTCTGCTCTCTCCGTCACGACTGCCTCTGCCTTGTGCAGCGGCCCAAAATCTTTGGACTCGAAGTTGCCCCAGCTGAACTTACCGCAAAAGCTGAAGCATCTTCGTTGCCAACTTATGGTGTGTACGCAACCGCTTTCAGGTAATGGACATTTGGTAACAGGTATACTGATGGTATGTCTGAAGCACCTGTTTGGCAGGTGATGTGCATGAACTACTGGAATCCACCCTGCAACGTGGGAGCCAAATGCTGATACTTCTTCTTGTATGACTCCATCGCACAGTAGGTCTCATGACAATAGTTAACGTCACAATGATAATTCCCCATGGCACAGCTCAGAATGACAAAAATGTCAACATCCTTCTGGTCAGCAGAATCCCAAAGATACTTCCAGGGTGGCAGTTGTGGGAACTGCCCCAAGCCCACACTGCGCCAGCCATCGGGGCCACCGTAACGTTCATCACAAATGGCTTCAGCCTCCAAAAGAGTGCTGTTGCTGGTCACCTGTAAGTTCTGACAATGTCCACTCATGAAGCAATAGCTTGCATCAAACCTGAGAGAAGGCAGGTGTAAAGGCGGTTTCTACCACAGGCGACATAGGAATCCGAAACACCTCTGCGTGATAGATCTAGAATCTAGATTAATCTAGTCAGCTCATCCTCGGGAAAAGAAGCAGCATCAGGTTATCAGGATCGGCGTTATTTTATGGTGCGTAAAAGTTGAACTATAATGTAATATAATGTAACAACGATATTATATGCAATATAATACATATATATATATATATTGAACTATATATGCACATAATGTCTATATTTAATATGTATATATATATAACATTATGCATAACAACATACAACGATGTATACACATAGTAGCATACACAGTATATATGTGGAGAGGGCGAAAAAAACTGAACTGAAACAAACCCAGGGTGCTCTTCCGTCTTATAGTCGTGACTGAATTGCAGCATGCTTTCCGCATAGCCATGCAGGTCACGCGTGGCGAGACATTGACGCGCTGGCTTGTAGAAGGGGGAGCCGGCGTAGCACCAGCCCTTCAACATTTATGACTGATGACTGACTTAAGTTAAGCAAACTTTGCAACCACACTTGATGCAAGATCATGCAGGGATCCTATAACTCCGGCGTCCAACACAAAAAAAAGAAAAGGCGCGACCATCCGACGCACCCTCCTGCATGTTCACCCCGCTTGGCTTGGCCAATCGCTTCAAGACCTTTTCCCAGCTTTCCACCTGCCAGGGGCTTTCGGATGGATTCTCATAGGGAACCAGCAGCGATATACTTTTTCTGGAAAGCGATTCCAACAGAAATCTTCGGGGGCACTTGAACTCAGGTAGGACTGCTCACCCTAATTAATTAATTCCAACAAGAAGTCAACCACACTTGAGTTGTCAAAGTGTGAATGAAAGGTATCAAGATTGAGATAATGAGCAGCAGCAGCAGCAGCAGCAGCAGCAGGAGCAGCAGCAGCAGCAGCAGCAAGCGCAGCGAAGCAAGAGCAGCAAGTGTGGTGTGAAAGCGCGACCAAAAGGATGCTTTAAAAAGCGCTTGCCCTCGGCAAGTGCTGAGAGAAGCCCACTCTTGACTCTTAATCCTCTTGACTCTTAATCCGCAAAGCAGGGCAAAGCAAAGGCATGTCATGCATGACTTGTTCACCTGACCCGTGCAAAGAACCAAGCACACTGCACACTCGGATCTCGAAGCATAACAGGATTTAGATATATTTAGATGAGAGATGCACAAAATGCCAAAGGACGAGGGGGGTTGTTCGGATTTGATCCAGGGGCGCAATGATAAAGTATCTTGGCTTAGAACCTTGGTTTAGAACCTTACTTACACCCATGGCACGATCCCGGCTAATACATGTTTGATCACGTTTGCATATGTTTGCAAAAGCAAGGAGAACTGATATAGGTAGCCGGATGCCTGAAAGCTTGAATGCTACCTTTCGTGATTTTCTGAACATCCGTCACCCCCCCCACCTGGCCAGTGCTATTGATACAGTCAAAGGGGGCTTCGCACATCCAGGGTGCTTCCTCGCAATCCGCCGCGCTCCAAGGCTCTTCGCGAAACATCAACTCTCGTGCCGCTGGATCGGTGCGGACCCTAGCCGAGCCGCTTGCCGGCGAACTTCGACTGCCGATGATTCCGGAGACAACACATTGGGACTGGCTGCGGGGGTAGGGCAGTTTTGGGGAGCTTCCGGTTGATCCATGTTGATCCATGTTGATCCAACATACCACTCACAAGAGAGACACATCGTTCTTGCAGGTCAAAATCTTTCAGTTGCCTTGACGGGTCCCAAATCAGAAAGGGAAACTACGCGGCCTTTGTTCAAAATCGGGCAACAAAACACATCCAACAAACGCAGAACAAGGTCAGTCAACTCAACTCATCAAAGGCACTAAGGCACTAAGGTTGCAATTAAGTTATAGTATGTTATAGTATGTTACAGTAATTATGAGAAATTGTTCAGACTTCCAAATTATTTAAACAGCAAATCTATGAATCTATGCAAAACATCTATCCTATTCATAGTAGCTGTGTGGTACTCTGAAGGTGCACAGTCAAACAGATCTATGACACAGCAAACTCTCGAAGGACGCCAAGACGGTCCCCAAGAAGAACGCTGCACAAACCCCATCGCAGCTTCATTCTTGAGTGTTGATCCCCACTCAGTGCTCCACTGCTCTTCTCTCCCACAAATTGGTCTCAACACCAGGGAGGCAAAAAATGACAAACTCATCTTCCCAAGTCCATTCTCCGCAGGGCCAGGGATGGCCAGGGGCATGGGCCCTGCTTTTTGTTGCCTCCTTGTCCCAGCAAAGCTAGTGATGGGGCTCCGTCAGTATCCCATGTGACCTTCCTGGGCCAAGCCAGGTCACCGCGCAGCAATCTGGTGTTGGTGCTGTAGGAAGGTGGCGGCCATGCACTCGCTGCCGCAGTCGTCACCCAATGTGTGGTGAGCCAGCAGCGCAATCAGCGGAAATAGCAAGCGCGACATCTGGCAACTGGGTTAAGTTCCCTAAGAAGGAGTGAAAACAAAGCGGGATCTTGAGATGTCATATAGCGCCTGAAGAAGTGGATGGTAGTATCAACAAATCAACATGAAATGCTCCAACGGAGTGACGAGATCTGCTCCGGTCACCCTGTCAACTTGGAGCCTCGAGCGAACTCACCACGTCGATGGCTGTTCGTTGGTGAGTCGGAGCACCTTCTCTTTTTTCCGACCCGTTGGATAATCACGTTGATTGATCTCATGCATGGGGGGGGGCATTTCCAGATCGCCACTTGGTTTCGTACAGGTATACAGGTGACTAACTGACCAAAACAAATGCGTTAGCATGCGTCAGCCTACATCTGATGGAGGGACCAGGATGAACTGTCGGTGTATCTAGGCATGTGAGAATGAGAACTGCAGGACGAACCGAATCATCTCATTGTTCACCATCGTCTTGGTGGTGCCCTGGACCAACGATGTCACCGAGGAACCTGCCCATCACTGAAGCCAAGTCAACGACTACATGCAGAGTGCGTTGCAAAATCTAAAGCCTACAAGAATCAAACAAGATCTATGGCCCGTAGCATCCTGCAGCAGTTCCAGGAGACCCTCCAATTTTTCCCTGTGAAGCCACCTTAGCCTTAGCCCCAACCATCTACTCATCTGCCATGTGCCTCTTCTTTCCATCTCCGCAGTTCCTCTAGCTCTGCCTCTAGCCGTCGCACCTGAGCAACGCAACATACGCAACTCATTTACCATGCTCAGGATGCTTTCGGAGCAGTTCAGTAGAGCTGATGTAGTCCACCATGCACCAGCTAAAACACCCATGGCGATATATACCATAAAACTATCTCGATATAATTTATCTACTATACCTGGAACGCTACCTGGGGCCTGGGTGGTCTTTTCCCATCTAAACAGTGGTCCAATGGGTTCTAGGTATGTGAATGTGAGAAAGGCTGCAAACGAACCGAAATGAGAGGCCAATTCTTTCAACTTCGTCTACTTGAGCAACGGGTAGTGCAAGTAAAACCAAACTGTCCTGCATTGCCAGCATTCCATCACACTTGCGGGAGCTTGATTCTCTCACTTTCACACAGTCTCAGTAACACCTTCTTCATTCACAGCTTTTGTACACATGCTCCTTTCAAGCAAACACGCGCATTCCCCTTGGACATTTAACTTCAAAACGACCAGTTCAGCGAGCCTTTTGTGATGCCTTGTGCCCCGAACAGAAAAATCCTCACCGACTCGTGCACTCGTCACTCCGCTGTCGACAGCGCTGCGTTGGGCGCCCGAGCACCAAGACGTGCACCTCCGAGCGAAACGGGCCGGCATCCCCGAATCGTTCGGGCGCTGTGGAAAGCTGCAAAAAGCCACGAAGAGCCCAGAACCACAGAAGTCTGGTATACTGTACAAAGGGTGGGACAAAGGGGAAAACGCGGAAATCACAGAACAAACACATAAAGAAAACGATTTGAGACGCATGCTGAACAACATGCCTCTGGCCCACCCCCACATGGACATAGTTCGCTCAGAGTCTGAGATCGGTATATATACAGTATACACCTCAGGGTATACGAGAGGACAATGCCTGTTCCCAGCCTTGTTTTGCAAAGCACCCTGCCTTTTGTTGAGGGCCCGACCATCTTTGGTAACCCACCCACATGAAGCACCAACTCCGATCAGCTCCACCCACCCCCTGCTCTATGCGCATTTGCCTTCATCGTAGTGAGGGAACTCCCTGACCTTAAATGGCCAGCCAGCTGTCTCTGCAAGGGGGCATTCATGTGGGTACGGGTATTGTGGAAATGCTTTACTTTACGTATTTCACAACGCTGGCACACCGTTCTGGCAGAGCCAATGGAGACTGGACCAAACCTATCCATGACTTACTCATCTTGGAAGGACATGAGGGGATAACACACATATTATATTATATATTATAAACAAAGAGAGAGGTGCACATTCATAGAGGTAGCAGCTTTGAAGAACAAAAGCACACAGTAATACATTGCATATATATATATGTGTTCCCTCATCTTCAATCTTCAACTACTAGAGCAAACTCCGGCACAAATGCGTACTAAGTTTAACCAGGGTACAGTAAGTAGCGTAATTACTTTATTCGAGATGGTCGCGATGGTTGCATTACGTAGCTACTGGGTTTTAAACATAGTCGCTATATGTCGCTATGCATTTTGTACCTTCTCAGATCCTAGCGTTACCAACGTAGTTGGAAACTCTGGATGTATATATGGACTGCTTGGGACATGTTGAAGATGCTTCATAAAGAGTTCCCTTGCAAACGGCTATATATATATACCGATTCCAGGGTCACACGGGTGCGGGCAAAGTTTCCTGTATCAAGGGTCAGGAATCAGTTTCTGCAAACTTTTTTATACATAGATATACATAGTCAATTTACAGGCGGTCACATGATGCCACGTGAAAATCCAATCGGATTGATCAAACAAAGCTTCTAAACATCCTGCCAGTCAGGTGGATCAGTCCTGCATACTTGGGACCCCGCATACTCGGTCATTCCTCGGACCCATGGACCCAGCTACATCCGGCGCCGGAGGAGGCGATCCCCGCAGTTTGCAGCACCAACCCTCCACCACTGGCGAACCTCAGGCACCGCACCAAATCCGCTTCCAACCTTCAAAGGCCACTGGAGAGGAAACATTTTTCGCAAACAACGGTCTTATGTATAAATGTTCTCCACCTATTCGTGGTACGGACGCATTTCAAGCAAGGTTGTAAAAAATTGACAACGAGTTGATATTGCATGATCTTATATAGTTGCAATTACTTGTCCTCACTGGGCGCTGCTGGTTGCAACAACAAAACATGCTGTCCAGCCATCAAACGGTAGAAACTTCAAGAATCCTCTGCTTCAGTCACGGTGCATTTGGTTTGTACCTGTTGATTGGGGCAAAGTTGGGGACAACAACACAGGGGTAAAGGAGGGTGCCAAAATGCGTCTCCTGATGCTTCTCTTGAAAATGGTGACTTTGTTTTTGTTCCGTCGGGGGCTGCTATCTGGCGCAAATGAGGCTTTCTCCATACCCGGTACCTGAGCAAAAACATTCCAAGAGGTTCTTCACAGTATCGGGCAGTGATGGTTGGAAACCAAAAGCGAATGTGGATCCTTCTAGGGAGCTCTCCAATTGTTGTTGTTGTGGTGGTAGTGGGATGCTTGTTGGAACTATGGGAGCACTAAGGAGTTCCCCACCGCCGGACGGTGCCGAATGCATCACCCGGCACCAAGTATATATGGTTCAACCATCACGCACAAACAAATAGTTAAGGAGGACCCCAAGCAGCCGCAAGCAACAAAATGCCCTACACCAAACCCCTACACTGCCCTACCCCTTCCTGATGTACAGTATGTCATCTGTCATGGCAGATCTTCCGCAACTGACCTGGCAATCCCTCCGCATCGGCCTCTTCTTGACGGCATGATCTTTGGCCGCCTTGGCATAGGATGCGGTAGGACTCAGGACAGTGGCTTAGGAGCAATAAGTTATTAGACCAAGTAACCACGTTGAGATGGGCATGGGATGGCGTGGGGATGCACAGAATCTGGCCCCCAGAATAGTATTTTAATTATTCAGTGGTGGTGGACCTACACCAGGCCAAAAATTAATCCATATGTGAACACCTTTCACGAATAGTTTACAGCATTTTGCAGCCATGTCTGCCTTGCAGTCTATAAGTGATCTTACACGCGTTCCACAGCACAGGCTCAGTTTCACTACAGTGATCTTCTGCGCTTTGATTCCTCCTCATTTCCGGTCGCATCAAGTCATCCAACACGCGGCAAAACGGCTGAACTTTTCAGATCAGCAGGCCCCCACGTTTTTCGCAGTTCCACAGATCTGACAGCTCTCTTTTCTGGCAAGAGAGGTTGAAGGTTTAAGAACGAATGGCGTCATAAGGATCCTTGTGACACCTTTCCTGTTCCCCCATGATTGTGATCGTTTTTGGATCTTGAGCCAGCTGCAAATGCGAGCATGTGATGTGGCTTATTGAAGTTATGACATCATTCCTTTATCACGCCTTGAAAGTCCATTCCGACCATATTATTCCAGGGTACCATCCACCCACCTCAACTTCAACATGTTTGTTTAAAACTTCAACATGATGGTTTTAATATTCCTTAAAAGGAAAATCTGAAAAAATTATTCCTGTGGGCGACCCCTACCCTGGAAAATTTACGACAGGAGGGCCCATCAGAAATCCACATGTTACATGTTTGTTGCATCATCTAGTTTGAACAGGTATATTGAATAGCTGTTACTTGAAACAAACTGTCATGTACTTAGACGGATCTAGATGTGAATCCACCTACGTTATCCTTTGTTGGGGCTTGTGGAGCCTACGTATTCTGAAACCACTGCCACCACCCTGATTGTGGAGTCAGTTCACTCTGTGCACCAGTCGACGCCCCAACACATCAGCAAATTAACAAAAGAGCTCAGACTCGCATCGGTTCGACCAATTGCCAATTCTCCTTCACAAGGATATCACGGTGTCCTGATTTTAGTGCTCTTCAATGATCAATGCTCTTCACATGGGTGTAAAGCTCCAGATTGCATTCCTGCTTCCGGGAAAGTCCCTCAAAAACACACACACATCGAATAACCGGGCTTTTGGTTCATGCGAGCCCATCGAGTCCTCCACAATGACCTCCAAACACCGCCAGGCCTGTAAGGACAAGACTCCTTGACCTCAATCCCGGAGGCTGAAAACATTCTGGCAAATACATTCCACGACACCCCTCTGAAACTGACTACAAGCGGCCACGTGGGGAGCATTCACTGCATTGTCAACCCTGGCAATCCATGTTTGTGTTGTTGCAAACTTTGCATACCTTGCCGACAAGTGGTCCGAGGCCGCCTTTGCATATTGGAGGTGTATATATTTATGCACATTACAGATCTGTGCATATGCTGATAGCATCCGATAGCTTTCCAAGGAACGGTTGGTTAATGGTGTTTAGCCGGTACAGCGATGCGTAAGAACCGGGGTCGCAGGGTCTTCGCCCCCAGGGTCTGACTCTACTTGGCCGATGTCCAACGCCTGCAGTGGACGTTCGCCGCTACTGGGGAAGACCATCTGACGGCTGCGCTCTTTTTCGCAGTGAAAAGTCAAGCATGTCTGGTGGAGATGTGCATCAAAAAAGCCCATCCAAGAGGAAAATCATGATAATGCCTTAAGAACAAAAAGTAGATTGAAGAGTGCGCAGAATCTTCAGCATCCTTATGCACCCTTTAAAGACATAACAAACAACAATATATTATATATATATAACAACCAAGATCCGATGACAAATCATGATAAATAATGTTTTCTTCTTGCAAATGCTGGTACGGCTCCGGTGATCTGATGAGGCGAGCCACTACGCATACTGCTCCGGTTCCTTCGCCCTTCTTCGGCTGCTCCGGGCAGCAAAGGAATCTACGATCCTGGACGAAAACAATACCCCGCGGAGTTGTACCACTACACTCCCATCAATTTTGAGAAAGGGAAACAGGGCTGGCTAAAATAACTAAAGCCTACTAGTGGAAGTGGAAATCATTGATACAGCTTTGGGCTTCATGTGTTGCCAGGATCCTGTTCGGCGGCTTCCTCAGTGTCGCGGAGCATACAGTGGCGATCCGCCTCTCACGACCGCTTGGAAATTTAAGCCACTTACACGAACACTGATGCCTGCCAAAGCATGTGACACTCAATCAGTCATGCCCGCGGAATCGACATTGGCACATGAAACAAACAACCTGCCTTTGATTTGCTTGAACGTCTTCCAAATGGATCATCAGTGGGGCATGGATCATCAGTGGGGGGCCGAAAGCTGCCTTCAAGAACAATGTGAGCGACTTTGCCGAGTCTTGGACTCGAGTGAGCCACTCGTGCACTCGCGTTTACAGGCAACAATCGAACCTAAGCTTTGACTCAAACATTGGCTGCGGCGATCTCTACAGGAATCTCGAACGGCAATCTCTACAGTGTAGCTGAAACTTGCAGTCACTTTACATGACAGGTATGAGCTACCATACAGGGTTGTGAGATCTGCAGGGAATCAGCACAGCATTCAATGGCTCCAGTTGAGCGACAACACCATGTTGTGATGTCATATGTTCTAGGTTGTCATAAAATGGCATGGAACAGTAAGACCTTCCGGAACTTCCAAACAGTGACTTCCCTATCTCAACTATCAAGGGTTCTTCACGCAAATGTCTGGAAGAATCTGAGAAACACGCAAAACGACAACTCCTGAACAAAAACGATGTTTGAAAAATAAACAAGCAAGAATAGTGACCCCTACCCGACTTATAACCCGGTGGCGAATCCCTGATGGACCATTTTTCAAAAACAGTGCTATCAAGAATTTGTCAACAATACATTACAAAGTTCAACCATGTGTTGCATTCAGAAGATCGAGCAGTGTCAGTCTCTCAGAACAGGTTCAGCAGCCCTTGTCAGAGTCAAAGCTGTTGGAGCAAAAAATGGCAAAGACTGTGGCAAACATCCTCAAGCCTTGCGACGCTTCAAGTCATGATTTGTCAAGGTGCTGCTTTGTGAAGGTGCTACAACACTCATGAAATGCCTGTTTGCACCGGATGATATGTATACAAATTAAACGACTAGCACCTGCAAGTCAGTACTGAGTACTGGTCAAACTCTTGGACAATGTAATTCTCACGAATGCTCAGTTGCTATTATTTGTTCTACTTTCAAAATCTTTCGCACCCTCGACAAATGCAGTTTCTGAGCTCTCAGTTGCTGGGAACCCGGGTAAACCAAGCTTTGGCTTCTCATTCGCTTTCGGGCTCCAGCGAAATTGGGAACCTTGGGGGCCAACAAGGTTGAGAGGCAGGACTAGGGATGCCTGCGAAGGCAGCTACATCGCAAGAAGACCAACACACTCAATCAAACACTTCCATCATATTGCGCTGAATTCATATTCAGTGGCTGTTAGGGGTACAACTGCTGGAATTGTCACTGATTCACCACATCTAGCTTCATGCAGAACATGTTTGAACCTGACAAAATTGATTTGAGGGTCTTGACTCTCCCGGAGTCCCAGCAGCCATTAATCACCACATGATAAACTGAAATATTCTGTATATGTGCATACGATATATAGTTGTGTTGTACTCTCATCATGGATTCAAATATGCTACTGCTACATACCATACATCACAATAAGAGGTGTGTTGGCCTTGCATTTCTGCTCCTCACGGCAGGCATGTATGGCCTCCATTTGCCTCCCAGCAACTCAATGACACTCTTTCTGCCGCCACAGGCTTGGATCAAAGACTTCTGCAGCCTGCACAATGAACCGGCCCGCTCAGGATGACCTGTGACCTGACGATGATTCGTGATGGACCTGTGCACCCAGCAACAGCCTCGTGATTCATGATGGATTCCGTGCCTCAGCTGTGAAACATAACAATATATATATATCATATATTTATCATTATGCACTGGAGAAAGGGTGCTCGCACCTCCCCCTCCCCCCCAGAGAGTGTTGGGAAAACCTAATTGTGAAAGCAAACACCACCAGGCCTAGGGATGCCCTCCACTTTCTGCATCCTCAATTCTTCCTCCTCCATAAATTTCCGTTCATTCTTTTTGGCCTTCTCTGACCTGTCCGAGTTCAAGGTGGCGAGTTCAAGGTATCGTGGCAAAAACAACGGTCGAGTGAAGTCCTAGCTCCTGGAGGGCCAGGAAAACGAAACATCGGCAACCTTTTAGATGTTGATGTATGCTGATGCTCTCCAATATCACGGTCAACTCTAATTTACGGGTTGTGTGAAATGTTTGGGTTCGGCTGCTTGGGTTGCTAGGGTCCCCACAAGGATTTCAAAGAGGTTGGTGTGTCTGTGCATTTTGTCTGCTGTGCCCTCACCCCGAGTTTGTTTCTGCACTGCAAAATCTGGACATAGCAATGATCCCCGATTGCCGGCCTACTACGAAATCTGTCAATGGAACCCGGCTTGTTGGAACCTTTAGTTCTGTGCACGGCTTGACGACCTGGGTGACACAAGTGACCTTCTTGGACATCTTGGAGCCGCAGTTGTGCTGGATGACCCGGTGCCCACGGGACCCAAGTGGTGGAGAGTGGAAAGCATTGAACAGGGACACGTCCCCACCTCAATGTGAATTCCACAAAAACTGCCACATGGGCAACAAAATAAACTGTTTTTGAAAGTCTGAAACATGCAAAAGAGCTGTCCGTCTGTGCTTTCAATCGCAGACTAAACAAAAGGGGTGGACCATGTGCAATTCGGTCACCACCACCACCACCACTACTACTACTACTACCACTACTACTATTACTACTACTACTACTACCACCACGACGACTACGACTACGACTACGACTACTACGACTACGACGACGACGACTACTACTACTACAACTACTAACTACTAACTACTAACTACCTACTACTAACTACCTACTACTACCTACCTACTACCTACTACTACCTACTACTACCTACTACTATCTACTACTGCCTACTACTACCTACTACTACCTACTACTACCTACTACTACCACCTACTACTACCACCTACTACTACCACCTACTACT